CTATCTGGTGCAGATCTTGCTGTTGCTTTGATCATAGTGGAAGTCTGATTGTCCGTGAGCTTCTTGATACATCGTTGCCCTGCCACAATATTACAGACCTACAAATGGAAAAAGTTTTGTACTAGATGTATACATCTTTTTTTAACTCTAGTGCCAATTACATGTGAAATAAAAATTTAAAATCTATGTCATTAAACTGCTTCTTTTTAATATCATATTAAGTAAAAAAGTAATAAACAATACTGCTTTACAGTGTGATTATAGTTAGGTAAAATGTACACTGAATAAAAAGGTTGAAAAGAAGTGCACTGAAATGCTAACAGTGGTTACATTTAGAGTAGTAAGATTGTGGATGAATTTTTTTTCCATATTATTACTGAAAATTTATAGCATAAAATAAAATTTTAAAACACTTCAATCTCCACAATAAATGTGAGAATATACAGGTAAAAGACCCCAACGGAATGATGAATAGGAGGATATTAATAAGCAGCCCAAACACATTACTTCTAGTGGCAGGTATGTATGTTTCTGCTCCTGCCCCACTTGCAGACAGGGAAGGTGTGGGTACTTCAGCTGAAGAGCATACTTTTCTCTGAAATACTGTGCTACTGTTCTCTCCACAGTTTGGCCATTTTCTAACTGCAAAGGAAAGCTGGAAAAGAAAAGTACACATGAACAACTTTTATCTCATTACGAGCCAGCAAAACTCCCAATCCATTAATGAGCACAAGCTGCCTCACATCATCTCTGCTGACAAACACCAGCTTTTCTTACGTTTGATGGCTGGCAGGCCTTCTTGTTACATTACAAACACGGTATTTCCGTCTCATTGTTCCACAATGAGTCACTTCAACCTTCAGACCTGTTACCCAACAAGAAAAACTGAGGTTATAGAACTGTCATATGTAAAATATATATAAAGTCTGCTCACTACTATAAAATCTCAAATTCTAAACAGACAGAAAATCTGTGATACAGGCAATGTGATATTAACAAAGTATTTTATATATAACATTGCAAATAATGGTTACAATCATGATATATCTAATTCCAAACCTGTTCCCTGTCCTATCAAGTTCTACACATTAAAAAATAGTATAAAATTGGCAAAGCCTGTAGATCAAGGGACAAAGTTCTCCATTAATAAAAATCCTTGTTTATAATAAATTGAGGTATGTATGCTGGGAGAGGGAAGGAGGAATCAAAGAGGAGTTGCAATAATTCTCAAGATAGTCTATAACCGTCAAAGTACGTGATATTTGAATAGCCCAGTCATCACATGCTGCATGAACATCAGAATTTCATAAAGCTCAAGAAGAAAGTCCTTCAAAGATTTTTAAAGCAGGGAGAAAAAAGAAAAATTCCAGGCCCTTTTAATAGAAGTGGAGTGACAATTTTGTTGAAGTATAACATAGTGATACAGCTCTTTTACTACTGACTATTAGAAATCAAATGCAACCGAAATAATGCCCAGATCAGGTGATCCCTACTTTCTTATGGAATCACTGACCCCCTGAGAATGTCATGAAAGCAATAAGCTCTCAGAAAAATGCACATACACATAATGTAACATATGATTTTATATGTTTGTGGATCCGTGTACCCTATCTGTGGACTCTAGGGGTTTGAGGATCCCAGGCCTGCTTTAGAAGGTGAAGCAATGGCCTTTTAAACCATTGGCTGAAATTCTTTGGGATGAATTTTCTTCAGCAGTGCTGTCCTAGAGAGTTTTCTGAGATGATGGACTGTTCTGTATTTGTGCTAATGCGGCAATACCTACCAGTATGTGTTACCGAGTACAATATGTGGCTAGTGTGACTAAGAAACTGAAAATTTAATTTTAACTAGTTTAAATTTCAATCGCTACATGTGGCTAGTGGCCACTGTATTGGCAAGTACAGTCTTGGAACTACCTAGAGAAGGGTTAACAAACAGATCCAGTGGCTACTGCTCACAGATAAGCAACTTTACTTCAATGGCCTACACTCCAAAGGAGGAAAATCTAAAAGGGGTAGAGGGAGGACAACTTTCAGTTCCCTGATAGTATTTATAGTTACTACTTTTGTATTATCTCTCTCTTATATCTATGATTCCTATAGAGCAGTGGTTCTTAACCAGAGGTGATTTTGCCCTCCAGGGAACATTTGGTAATGTCTGGAGACATTTTTGATTGTTACAACTTGGGGGTGCTACTGGCATCTAGTGAATGGTAGATTTAGGGATGTTTAGATCCAGGGATGTTGCTAAATATGCTACAGTGCACAGGGCAGTGCTACTTCCCACCTCTGAGCACAACAAAGAATTATCCAGCTCAAAATATCAACAGTGCCAAGGCTGAGAAATCCTGCTACAGTATAACTCATTTTCCTATGCAATTACTAACTACAGAACCAAACACAAAGTTCACTCATAGTAATATTTTCTTCTGATATATTAGCACAAATTAAGACATTAAATGAACACAGTGTCGCTGTATCAGAACGGTGTGGGTTTTTCTTGAGTACCCCTAATTGAATCAGTGAGAAAATAGTTTTTTAGGAACTGCCTTTATAAAACTAAAATTTCAGATCAATTAAGAGTATTTACTATGCCTCTATATTATAAAGGACACTAGAAAATGAAACACTATCAAGGGAAGGCCTTATAAGGAGGAAATACCAACAATATGAAGTAAACAAGATGTAAAAATATTATTGTGTTTAGCAGGAAACACAATAGAAAATTTAAAACAAATTTTTGTTATTTTAT